GAAAAGAGAGACAAACGAGAACGGAGCTTTTTCATTGGAAAAAACTCAATGCGCGCAGATTGCCCCCTCGAGGACATCGCGTGCGTGCGCTTCGCCCAAACAAACAACACATAGATCGTGTGTGTCATCTGGTGTCAAATAGCGATGACACGGACGCACACACCTTCTAAATGCTCTGCTAGTGCTCGCCATAATGAAAGAGATAGCTCTTACTTTTTCCTTGGAAATGCACGCTTCAAACAGAACAGTCAATGAAGACGAAGAAGAGAATGATGTGTGCTCCCGGCGCCTATTTATAGTCGCACCGGTATTGACGTCATGGCTGTCGCCGGCCAACGAGTTGGTGTTTTTTCAATGTATGCTTCAGACACGGGTCACGACGAGGCGTTCCCCATAGCGACCCCTAGAGGACGCAGTTCGAAGTTCCCATGAAATGGAACTACTCTTTTTTTTTTTTCAAATTTCACAGTTTTTAATTGAAAATATGGTATCATTGTACATGATTCTTGTAATTCCTAGCTGAATGTGATGAGACATGAGCATATTGAGACATACAAATAAGAGTGAAAGTGTGCATATTTTAAAATATTATTTGCAAATAGTAAAAAAAAAATTAATTCCCTGCTACTGGGATTTCTCTCACTTGGGTCCTCAATGTTCTGTTTTTGGTTCAGGCAAACCCCTTAACATTGCTGGCATTATTATAACTGTTGACAGTACACTCAGGTGGGTGGGGTGCTTCCCTCAATCTGATCTCAGTCTGTTTGGATCACATAATTCGTGAGAGCCTGGACTTCCCTTCCTCCTGAGGGGCGTCCTGCTGAGTCCTCAGCTCTCACAGATACCCGTATCTGGGCCCTGGTGAAAAGTAGGTTTGCATAAATCTGCATCCTTTCTCATTGGTTGCCGTCTTGTTTGGAGCTATGGCCTCACGGGATGCAGACTCATATCTGACAGGGTTGAATAAAATGCAGGTTTTAATTAAATTCCTCTAGAGATGTTATAGATATGTTGGCTGGCTGGCTAGCATTAACAGACCTTTGAGCTCTGCCATTGTATGTATAGTGGGTATTCTGTTCCCCGTAGTGTCCTAGGACACATTGCGAGTTCGAAAGAGAAAGTCTCGGGTAACATAGGTAACCATGCTTCCCTAAGCACAGCCAACAGCCCCACTGGACCCACGATTGTGCCCTCGTCACGTCACTTCTCAGTGTCTCCTTCTAATTTCTCAGGAAACTATAATTACCTGCATAACCCGAGATGAAAAAGAAAAGATAATAACCTGACTGTGAGCGTACTGATCGATCCTCAGGAGATCCTCAAAGAGTTTCAAATCAACACTCTCCAGGGCAAACACAACACTAAAACCAGATAAAAATAAATAAATAAATATTGTCCTGAAGAAAATCATTTACATCTTGGATGGCCTGAGGGTGAGTAAATTAACAGCAAATTTTCATTTTTGGGTAAACTATTACTTAAAAGATATTATTTCAATTTACACTCGAAATGCTGGGTTGTTTCAACCCATCTTTGGGTCAAATATGGGCTAACCCAACCGTTGGGTTAAATTTTTTAACCCAAAAGTTGGGTTAGTCCGTATTTGACCCAAAGTTGGGTTGAAACAACCCAGCATTTTTAGAGAGTAATATTATTTTTATTCTATTCAAAATCAGCAATTCAGATATGGTACTGTTTTTTTGCTCTGATTGAATTTCAGAGACATGCCTGATAAAGTGTGTCGTGACTCAATACGTTTATAATACTCTCCATCCATAATATACCAAATGTGTGATTTTTCTAAGGGTTATCTTAGTACGCGATTTACTGATAATGTAGCCCACAAGGCCTTACATTGTTGTGGTTGAAATGCTGCCCTCTTCCATGTTCTGTTCACAAAAGAGAACAAGGAAATAATAGAGGGAATCCAACTTGTTTAGCAGTTGATCCACACACAGATTTTGTGGGTGGAACATTTGACAAGGAAACAAAATCTCAGATCCTGAGAAACGAGTTTGGCATTTCTTCATGGTTATTTCCAGAGACTGTAAAGAAGAAGGCAAAAATGTGTTTATTCTTTCAAATATGTAACTGCTTTAAATTGCCTTTTTGCAGTACAATTAATAGAAGGAAATTCTTTGACTTTGAAATGTGCTATTCAATGTTGTATTTTAAAAGTTGTCCTTCCTTATCAGGCTGGAATCTGTTATTAATATAAAAGAACAATAATTTGACCTAAACGGTTGCAGTTAAGTAGTGTGCTATTCTTGCAGTTTGTGCCACTGTAATTTATTATTAAATAATCCTATTTTCTTTTCTGATTGATTGCAAAGTACATCCATGAAATATTCGATCCTAATATAGCCTAATGTATATATTTGTTGTAAAAAATGAATGGATACAACATTCAAACGGATGGATGGATGGATGAATGGATGAATGGATAAGGGCCAGCATGGTGGCTCAGTCCATCCAGGGTATTTCCCTGCCTTTGGACTGAGGATGGAATTTATTTATTTTCGGTGCTATGTTAGGTGCTACTAACTATTAGTGCCAGATCACAGGTCA